TGAAAACTAAAAAAGGGGTAGGGATATGGCTTAGTGCAAAGGTCCTGGGTTTAATCACCAGTATCACACCAAATAATGAGTTGTGCAGTCTTCCCCTATATAATTTCTGTAGTCCTCTGTTAATTTCTAGTTCTACTCCGTTATAGTCTAGTAAGATGCAAGAAGTTATTTCATTTTTTTGTATTTTAGACTTGCTTTAAGATCTAAAATATGATATATTTTAAAGAAAGTTCCATGAACTCCTGAGAAGTGTATTCTGTAGTTACTGGATGGAATACTGTCAAATATTAAGTTCTCCTGACGTATTGTGTAACTCTGACACTTGATTATTTAGATGACCTATCTGTTGGTGCCAGTAGAATACTGGAGTCACTCACTGCTAGGGTCTTACATGTCCCTTTATGTCAAGTACTGCTCGTTTTATGAAGCTGGGTACACTATGTTTGGTGCATATTTACGTACAATGTAGTATCTTTTTAGTGGATTTTTATCAATAGGTACTGGCCCTCTTGTTTTTTTCTGATGAGTTTTGTCTTGCAGTCTGCTTTGTTGGGTATGAATGAAACTTTTTTTCTACTTTCAGGTTCCAATTACATGAAATATTATTCTTTGTCCTTTCAGTTTGTGTATGTCTTTGCTGGTGAGGTGTGTTTCTTGCAGGCAACAAGTGCTGTTTTTTTTTTTTTTTAATCCAATCTGTAAGTCTGTGGCTTATTTGGAGAATTATACTAATTTCTGTCATTGTGTTGTTTTTCTAATGTTCCTTTCCCAATTCTAAATAGCTTATATACTCTTCCTTTTCTGTGTATAAGGTTCTTTTAAAATATCTTTTATAATGCAAGCTTGGTGGCCATGAATTTCTTTATTTTATGCTTACCTTTGAAGGTCTTTATTTTTCCTTCAGTTTTGAAGGATAGCTTTGCTGGATATAGTAATCTTGTTTAAGAAATTGTTTCTTTGGGGGCTTTCAATAAATCTTTCAATGGCTTTTTACCTTTAGAATTTATGCAGAACAGTCTTCTGTTATTTTCATGAGTTTGGCTTTTTAAGTAGCTGAATATCTCCTTTTTGCAGTTCTCAATATTTTTTCCTTGTTCTGTATTCTTGGCATTTTAACTATGATGTGAGGAGGTTCTTTTCTAATCATGTCTGTTTGGGGTTCTTAATGCCTCCTGAACCTGGATTTGGGAGCATTTTTGTAATTATTTCATGAAACACACTTTACATGTCAATAGTGCAAACCTCACTCAGTTCCCTCTTCTATACCTGAAATTTCTAAGTGTGCTGTTCTAATCATATCTCCAAATTCTTGGATATTTTGCCCATAATTTCTAATTTTTTATCAGTGATTGAGTGAGGTAACTCATTAATTTGATCTGCAAACCCTGAAATTCTGTCTTTTGAGGCATTCTATTGGTGAGGCTTTGCAATGAGTTTTTAAAATTTGAATTATTGTGCTTTACATATATCAAAGATTTCCATTTGATTCTTCAGAATCTCTCTTTGTTGAATTACTTCTTCATATTCTTCATGGTATTCCTTAATTCATGCTTGTGTTTCTGTTTTAAAATTTGTGCATCTTTAGGAGATGAATATTGCTTCCACTTTTATGTGAGGGTCTTTTTAGTGACCAGCCTTCTTTTGAAGGCTTTTTATCTCCAGTACAGCACAAAGAGGTGAAAACAAACTGCAATAACAATGACAGGATTTGAAATACAGTAAAAACCAACTGAAAGCAAAAACAGTACCACTATAACAATAGAAATCAGAAATAATAATATAAATTAAAAGGCTAAATTAATTAGTATTAAAAATATTTACAATGAAAAAGTATTTATAATAGATGGCCATGATGGAACATACCTGTGAGCCTAGTACTTGGGAAGCTGAGGCAGAAAGACTGCCACAAATCTGAGGCCACGCTGGGCTACATAGTAATTTTGAAGTCAGCCTGACCTACATAGTGGAACCCTGTCAAAAAAAAAAAAAAAAAAAAACAAACAAACCCAGCAATAGTAAATTAACACTAATAAAATCAAAGGTAGTGCAGAATTGGAAAAAAGGAAGAAGCAGCAAAATAAAAGACAAAGAAAGATGAGAGAGAAGCAGGAAATAGATTATGAAATTCAATTAAAGAATAAAAAAAGTAATACCAAATAGATAAAAATAAAGAAAAGAAAAAGAAGGCAAGAAAAAGGTGTGTGTGGGAGGACAAAATGGAATCTGCAATTGACCCTGAATGCTGGGAGAAAAATCATTGGTGGTGGTTTTTGAGGATTTTTAAAAGACCCTCCTGTTTCATAAGTGCAGTTTTGTCTCTCAAGATGTCAGTTACGGGTACACAGAGGTTCCCTAACTATCTGGTGGTCTTTCAATGGTTTCCGGGGAGGCATCAACAGACCCCACCTCAGCCTTCCCTCTCCGCTTGTCATGCAGCCCATGGGGAAGACCTTACGGCCAGTGTGGGGGATGATGATGGAGAAGTGCTACCCTGAAACCATGCAGGTGGGTGAGGGCTGGGCACACCTCTCTCCCTGGAGGAGGGTGGCTGTCCTGGGCACTCGTGATAGGCACAGCAAGGTTCCTGCATCTGGAGAGGACAAGACAGAGGAATCCCAGTCACTTGTGGTTGTGTCACCTCTCCATCTCCCCTTGCAGAGACGCAAAGTCAGGAGTGGGAAGAAGCAAGCCTCCGGGGTAAGTGAGGCCTGCTGTGGCAGGATGGCCTTGCTCTTCTGACCAGGGCTTCATTCAATTCCATGGCTCCTGGGGACACTCACTGACTGACCACAGCTCCAGGGAAGAGCAAAGAGCTCTGATCACTGAGGGTGCAAGTAGCAGCAGTGGGGTGTCCCAAAGCCCTGCTGCCCATATTTTGCCCTCGTGCCTCTCCCTGCAGGCCATAAGCCCCAGGGCAACAGGAAAATGGAATCATTCTGCCCCCAAGGAGGAATCCGACATCTCCGCTCAGGAAGCACAGGTGAGGTCCACAGGGGAGGAAGCCACTGGACCTGTTCTGACAGAGGAAGGATGGCAGAGACCCCAGGCTGGTCAGTGAGGGTGGTCTGAAGCCCCAGCCTCCCTGGAAACCGTGAAACATGTGGGGTGGTGGTGGGGGGGGCCTCAGCCCAACCCCAGGAGCGCTGGCTCAGGCTGTCATCCCAATGGAGCTGGAAGGCAGCTGACCTGGTATGAGGAGTAGGTCTAAATCCTGGCCTTTCTTGACCTCTCATGGAGGAAGGCCTGCTTCCCTGTCTGCACAACATAGAACTGGCCCCATCTTACTGCTGTGTCCTGCTTGTTCCCTTACAGGAAATGAAAACGGACCATCAGGAAGTCACTGAATATCCATCTGGTAAGACTGCTGGCCCAGCCCTCTGCAAAGGGAAGTCCTCCCCCCATCTCAGATACCAGCATCCCCTCCTAGCCCTTCTTGGGCTGCAGTAGCCAGTTGATTTGACTGTCTTTAGTAATCTTTAGAGGCTCTGCCTCCTCTCTGGGGTTGCTGGAACTCGGCTTCTCCCCCAGCCAGCCACACATAGGTGACTGACTGTCCCAGCATCCAGAGGGCATTTGGGCCTGGTAAAGGTTCCTTCCAGCAAGAGACCCACAAGCCTTACCTGCTTGTGTGTTTCAGGGCCTTCTGTGATGGAGAGCAAGGAGGAAAGGCTGTGGGGATGGGGCCCCCAGCTCCTGAGAAAGTTCTGGCCCAGCTGGTTTCTAACCTCTGACACCCCCACGTTGCAGAGCCATGAATGAGAAGGGAGCTAATAAACCCTCGAGTTCCTGCTCCTTCCAGTCCAGTGCCTCCCTTCAGGGGCCCCACAGCTGCTCAAACAAACCTCATCTGCCTGCATCCATAGGTTCGCTTGACAGCTCTAGGGACCCTGCTCCCTGCTCCAGACCTGTCCCCATAGTGGACACTCTGCAGTGGCCAGCACAAGCCCTGGTGATCCTCTGACTCAGTCCCAGGTGGCAGACCACAGCCCAGTGGAATGCAGACTGGGGAGCTCCCTGTCCCGATGACACTTACTAAAGTGGCCATAGAGACCCCAGTTGGGACACTACAGGGTGCCCTGGGAGCAGTGGCCATGGGTTGCTTCTGCTGTGAGTGTGTGGAGTTTTCTGTCCCAGACTGTTTCATGCACAGCGAAGCAGATGGTCCTTCTCACTCCTGGGTCTCCATGCCCAGTTCACAACAGCCACTGCCAAATGGGGACAGAGGCGGAAGAAAGCAGTTCTTGCCCTTCATCGGACAGACTCCAGGCCAACAAGGATCGAGGCCCAGGAGGCAGGAGGAGGAAGTCAGGGGTTTTCACCACCTGGCACAGACTTCTCAGTGGCGAAAGGGGCAACAGAGGCCCAGGTTGGAGGGGATGACCCCAGGGCTGTGCAGTGCATCACGGAGTGAAGCCTAGGAGCAGGGTCTCCACCTCTCTGCAGCCATGTCACCTACTTCTCTGCTGCGTCACTGTCACACAGGTCCCACACAGGCTGAGCCTTCTCCCTGGGACCCCACAGGCTTATCCCTGACCACTTAGAAGGTTGAACCCTAGTCTGCACATCTGACAATTGTCCTCCGACTCCAGCTGGGCCTGAGAAGCAGCTCCACACTGCAAGGGGCCAGGGAAGGAGCGTGATCCTGCCTTCTAGTGACGCAGGGAGGCTGCTGTCCTGGGTTCCCCCTAGGCCTTCCCATGAAACTTGCGGCATCAGGCCTCCAGCTGCACCCACCCAGGTACCCCGGGCCTGCTTGGAGGCCTGCTGAACTAGGTTTCTGGGTGCTAGAACTGCTAGAACCTGTGGGGTCTCCCTCACTGGCTAGGTAGACTTGGGCGTGTGTGTGTGGGGGGGGGTGGGGGGTAGAGGGTGAAGCTGCCGTCCTGAGAAGCCATGTGCAACCCTCCCTCGGGGCCCTGCAGGGAGGTAATACAAGGGGTAAAACTGACGTGCAAGCCTGTGTAATGGGCAGACCAGACGGAGGCAGGGAAGAACAAAAATGAGACTTGTTGTTTTAATTTTTTGATCACATGCAAATGAGGCACCAGCCCAACAGATTGCCAAGCTAGTGTTCTACAGTCACTGGTACAGTTCTGTTTTTCTCCTGGTACTGGGAGTTTATCATCTACTTTGGCCAGTGCCTAATCTTTGTCTCCTTTGCTTTGTAAACAATCTATGGGATTACAAAAAAAGCAAACAATTATATTACTGCAGTAACTTCTGAAGTGTCAGTGCTTTTTTAGAGTTAACATAGCAGATTTTATCTGACTGTCCTCTTCCCTTTTTGTTACGGGAGATCGAACTTATAACCGCGCCCTTGCCAGGAAGGTGCTTATGCCACTGAGCTAAATCCCCAGCCTGCTTTGTCTTTTATTTAGAAACCCTTTTAAGCATGCGACTATCATGAAGCTACAAGCCCTAACCTGGAAAAGAGACCAGTTTTACCTTTTTTTTTTTCTCAGTAAAGAAGAGATGAAGTAGGGAGCAGAAGAGGCCCTGGGGAGGCTGCTGAGGCCCCACGATGGCACGGGGACCCGCAAGTTGCCAGGGTAGAGCTGCTAAAAGGGCTCATTGTACATCTGGTCTCTGCTGGCCACAAGTGCAGGGCCTTGGTGCCACCTCTAACGGTGCAGTGCGCAGAGCTGGTAGGGGGATGGGCTCTTCAGGATGGCAAAGGGGGCAGAGTCGCTGGGCCGGGGCTGCCCCTCAGGCACCGAGAAGCTGAAGCGCTGCAGCAGGCAGGTGAAGAACAGGAAGAGCTCCATGCGGGCCAGGGGCTCCCCGAGGCATGTGCGGGGACCTGTGGGTGTGATGGCGCTCAGTCAGACCGCAGCCTGGGCACCTCCCCAGCCAGGCACCCTGAAAAGGGCACAGGGACCGGGTACCCAAGAAGCAGGCACCTGCTGAGAATGGCATGAAGGCCTCGGGCTTCACAAAGCGGCCCTCAGCATCCAGGAAGTGTGCAGGGTGGAATTTGAGGGGCTTCTCCCAGGCGGTCTCATCCTTCAACACCGATGACAGGTTGGTGATGAGTGTGGTCCCCTGGCAGGAGATGCACAGCATGAAAGTGGACTAAGGTGGGGACACAGCTCGTGCTGTCACTCAGTATGCACAAGCACACACTCACTACCTGCTCACACCTGGAGCCTTCAATTAACCATGAGCCCCAGAAGCTTCTCAGTGCCCTCTCGGATCCCATAGCAGGGCCTGGTCACAGGGCTCCCATGGGTGCTCACGCTGTCATCTGTCTTTGCGTGTGCTGTCTCCTCCAACACCATATGACTTGTTTTAGCCTTTATTTCACCACTCCGGAGACTCAGTGGGGTCAGGGAGGCACTGTGTACTCAGTGGTGCACCCATGGCAGCACCAAGGGAATCCAGGATCTGATGGCTTGGGCACTGCCCAGCCTCACCTAGTAGTGGCTACCCTGGAGAAAGAGGGCCCCAGGCCTACCTTGGGGATGAGGAAGCCCTGCACCTCAGTGTCCCGGGATGTCATGTGGGGAAAACCTAGTGGAGCGATGTCCGCAAAGCGCTGCACCTCGTGAATCACGGCGTTGGTGAAGGGCATGCGGGCCTGGTCCGCCATCTCTGGGGGACGCCCCTGGCCTATTACTTCATCAATCTCCTGTTGCACACAGCCTGCACAGACAAGGGTTCCCACGGCAGGTCAGTCCCAGAAGTAGTGCCCTGACCCTGCCCACCCCTGTGTTAAAGGCTGTGTCCTCACACAGAAACTGACGACGCCTATGCTTGGAGCAGGGATCCCAACTCAACTCAGGAGCCCTGCACTACCCTTCCTCATTCTCCCACCAGCCCCAGCTGGGCTCACGCTGCACATCCGGGTTCAGGATCATGAGCAGCAGGGCCCAGGCCAGCGTGGTCGAAGTGGTCACCATCCCTGCTGTGAAAAGGTCAGCCACAACCAGGCGCAGGTTTGCATCACTGAAGCTGCTCTTGGGGTTCCCCTTGGCCTGGGCCAGGTAGAGAGGGTGGGCTCAGGAGGAAGAGGAAGGAGCCCCAAAATGTCCCCGGTTCTGCATCCCTCAGCCCAGATGCTGGGTCACTGGGAGATGCCCAGGCCCCACTGGCCTCACAGGACTCCCTCCCTCCCCCCCAGCTCAGACCCCCAGTCCCTCCTCTTACAGCTGCCCCTCACCTTCTCCATCTCACTCAGGAAGGTATCAGTCAGGTCTCGGGGGGGCTGGGCTGGGTCCCAGCTCATCCGGTGCTCGGTCAGCAGCTCATCCAGCAGATCCATGAAGGCCTTCTGCCCAGGGAAGACCTTGTCTGGCAGCCCTGGGATGCGCAGGAGAATGGGGACTGCGTTCAGCACCTGTGACAACACAAGAGGGGGCCTGGATATCTCCTAAGTGCTCACGGGAGCAGCCTCAGGTCTCACCCTCCTCAGGTAGGGGAGCAGGGGCCTGCCTGGGCCAGTAGTGGCCACTCCCTGCCTGCCTGCTCCTAGCTTGGGCTGCCACATGTGACACTCCACCACGGAAATCTAAGCTTGTGTGACTCCCAGTGTGGACTGAAGGTGCTGACTCCGCCTTATCTGGAACACAGAAGACAGCCTGCCTGTCTCATGACTGTCGTCTGCCATCTGCCATCTCCAGCCTTTTCCTCCTGTGGTAGCCTGTCCAGCAATGCCCTCCGCCCATTGCCCCTGCATGCGAATCCTCCTCAGAGGTCCCACCTCAGGGGGCCCCCTGCCCAGCACCTGGGGCACGATGCCGGACTCTTCCTTCATGGTGTCCTCTAGCAGCCTCAGCAGCTGGTTGAGGCGCAGGTCCTCGTACTCAAAGCGGTGTGCATAGATGAGCAAAGCGATCACATTGCATGTGGCTTTGTTCAGGAATGCATTGGGGCTAAAGGGGCGTCCTGAGAACGGGATGTGCATTAGGAAGGGGCAGAGTTCCAGTTACAGTCTGCCTCTCCTCCTCCCCGCCCCTTCCTATGACACCTCCTCGTTCCCCAGGGCCCATCACCTACCATCCTGGGAGGCAAAGGCGGCACAGAGGCAGGCGGCCTCCTCGGTCACCCACTGCTCCAGCGACTTCTTCCCCAGGCCGAAGTTGCGCAGGGTGGACACAGAGAAGCGCCTCAGTTCACGCCAGGTGAGCCCGTAGTGCGCCAGGATCACCCCTAAGGACAGGTGGGCACTGGGGCTCGAGACTTCTGCCCGACCACACACTTCCTCGTCCACCCCTCCCTGTCGCAGCCTGGGGTCCCTTTGAACCACCTCTATCACCTGCATTCTCTGGCTTTTCCTCACGCCGCATCGCTGTCTGCCCCCATCAGACCCTGTACAGCCTGTGACCACTGCTTCCCAGTCCCTGATCCTCCCCACCCCTGCTTCTCTCTCTGTCGCTGCCTTCATTTACCACGAGAGTGCTGCCCAATGCCCACGTGCTCATAGATGGGCATTGGTGGCCGGTCAGCAGTGTCCTCACTGTGGTTCACCAGCGCCTCCCGCACGGCCACCAGCCCGTTGAGAATGACCACATGCTTCCAGGCCAGCTGCAGGCTGAACACATCTCCGAAGCGGCCCCGCAGCTGCAGGCAAAAGGTCAGAGCGTCTGTGAAGCTGGGGCTGGACCCTGCAGAGCTGCTGGTCTTTACCTCATCAAACGAGGCTTGGGAAAGCGAAGAGAAAACCAGGCATGAGGAATAGACCCAGTGTCCAAATCAGGAGTCAGGAGGCCAGGGCTCGCGTCCTTTATGGGAGAGGAGCTCACTTTGGATGAGACTGACCAGCGCTTACCAACCCGTCACGGTGCACAAGAGACCCCGGCACCGCGGCTTCACAGGACTGAAAGCATCACTGCCTTCTCCTGGCCTCAGTATCCCCGCTAAATGCTGTTCAGGATGCTGGTCCTGCCCCTCACTCCCAGGACTGTTCCTCTGATGTCATCAGAAGGGACCCGGGGCCTGCATAACTTCTGCTCTACCCAACTGGATCCAGAATCTCCTGCCACATCTCACTCAGCTCCAAGCCTTGTACCCTGAGAGAGCTCAGAGTGTCCCTGGGCCTGAAGTGTCTTCCCCAAGGCAGCCTTCCCCTGCTGCCACTTGGGGGCCCACCTCCCTGTGCAGCCTGGGCTCCCCACCAGCTACTGCAGGCTTTGGTGTGTGCATGTCCTTGCCATCATAGCTGCCGGGTGACACCAGCTCCCTTACCTTTCGGCAGCTCTCCAGCATGTTCCGGAAGTCCACCTGCAGCAGGTTGCCCACGCCGGGCACTGGCACAGGGCCTGGGGGATAGCGAGTGGCCCAGCATTGGCGCCGGTGCATCAGGTCCACCAGGAACAGGAAGATGACCACAGCCACGGCCACAGAGAACAGTGCATCCCCGGTCAGCAGCCCCATGGCTGCCTCCTCACCCACCGGTGTGGGTGCCCCTGGACAAACAGAGCCCGGCACCACTCCAGGGACCTAGGGTCAAGAGGAAGACATGGCTGTCACACCCTGGGCACTGGACCAGCCTGGACATTCCCGCGTAAAACTTTATCCCCAGCCAGGAGCCAAGCTACTCTATTCAGAGGGTAGACGGACAGATGGGGCAGGGAAGGGGCAGGCACGGTGGCCGTGACAGAGGTCCTTGCCCCTCTTGCCTAGGTGCTGACCCAGGGGAGGGAGGCGGTGGTGACTGATGGAGAACTGTACCAGTCCCTCCCTCGTACCCCACAGCTAGAGCGTGGTAGGACTTGACCCTGCACACCACCTCTACACTGACACATACCCCAGATGTGGCACATCTGTGTCTCCTGCTGAGTTCTTGTCCTTCCCTTGCCTTGCCCATCTGCTCCTCAGGAGCCTTTGCCTCTCATATCTGTCACTCACAAATAGAGGGAGGCCTTGGTGATCAGAGGGAGGGTGGGACAAGGTCTCCACCTGTCTCCTCCTGTCTCGGTCTGGAGTTACAGTTACTGTAATGAAATACCTGAGGCAGGCCACGTAAGGAAGAGATTTGGTTTGGCTTTTGGTTCTGGAGGTTAAAAGGCTCCTATCTGGTGAGGGTCCCCTTGCTGGCAGAGTCCTGGTGCATCACATGGCAAGGGACAGGGAGCTGTGTGTGTCTGGCCTCTCTCCCTCTTCTTAGTAAGCCACCAGGGTTCAGTCACAGTGCCACCCTCTGGTGGGTTCATCTACTGCTAGTCACTTCCCAAAGGCGCCACCTGTGTCACCACAGTCAGATTGCTTCTGTCTCCATTGAGCAGCACAGTGGGGTTGAATTTTAACATGTGAAGCCAAGATAGGAGATTCAACCATACCCAAGAAATGCCCCCACCAGGGCTTCCAAGGTGTCCCGCACCTGTGTCACCTACCACACATGCCAGGAGCCCATTCCCAGATATTACTCCTATGTACTACACACCCACACCCACCCCCACTCCCACACTGATTCTGGTCCCACCAAGCCACACCCCCAGCATTCACAGAGAGACTCACTCAGACACACGTAATCCTGTGCATGCACACAGGCACGTGTGCACACCTCAACCCAGGGTGCCTCAGGGTGCTGGAGGAGCCTCTCCTATTGGGGCTGCTCTAGTGTGGCTCTCCATGGGGCCCTTGGCCATCCCCACCCAGATCCTGGGCTCCGGCCTGACCCTTGGGGAGGACCACTAGGATGGCTCTCCTTGCAAAAAGACTATTTATCTCCATTTTGGCCAAACCTGCCACTAATTCTGTGAATTGACATGCACAGAGCTGGCTTAGATATTTCTTTACCCCTTAATTGACTGATGTGTAGCCTTTAAATCAATGGGACAGGGACCTGGGATTTAGCTCGGTGACATTAGTGCCTGCACGGGCAGCACGAGTTCATGAGTTCAGTCCACGGTACAAAAAAAAAAAAAAGGGACAGGTCAGCGATGCCCCAATGCAGCTCCCAACCAGTATGTGTGAGCTAGGCTAGGGTCACTGCGCTATCTGCCACTGCCCACTGAGATTGAGGCTTGAGAAAGAACCTTCACATCCCAGGGCATGAAGACTGGACATCAAAGCTGCAACGCTGACCCCCAACACAGGATTCCTCCTCAAGCTGTTCCGCAGATTACTCTCTGCAAGCCCCTCTCTGCCTCCTACCTAGCTCTGCTCACAGCACTCACGCACCTCCTGGACTGGACTCAGTCATTCACCCCTGAGCCACCCCGCCTTTGACAGATTAATAAAATCTGGGATCAGCCCTGGGTCAAGGGCTTTGCTCCAGTCAGACATTCTTCTGACTGGACTTAGGACCCCCTTGGCTCCTACAGATCTTTATTCATGCAGTGGTCATACTGGAAGTGGTAGGCTGAAATTAATTATTGCAATTCTAGTAACATTTCCCTGGGATCACAAATGTGGGCTCCACCAGACCATGAAGAGACTGGCAGAGGGGGATCCCCACAGCCCTGGCAAGTTAAATTCTGGGTGTTCCGAGACAGAAAGGTGCTCGAGGCTTACTAGTTCCCCAGGCCTGGCAATCAGGGAAGTCCAGAATCCCCTTCCCCTGCCTGGACACGTCCTCAGCCAGTTCTCTGGCCTCTCAGGTTTCTGATCAGAAGTCAGTACTGATGTTACGGACAATCTTATGCTCACAAGGACTGGCTTTCTTCTTGCTCCTTCAAAATTCTCTTTTGACAATACTGAGTGGTAAAGATCTCTTTAGAGGTTATGCTACTTGGAGTTCCTTGAACCTCTTAATATTTTATCACAACTGAATGATTCCCCCAGGTATCAGAGGGCACCCAGACCTAGGAAAATGTTTCTCCCAACAAAGGAGCCATAAAACTTATGTTTTCACACTTTAACATGCAGGAAGACCCGGTGCCTAGAGCCCTCCAGCTCTTAAGAAAGCTGGGCATGATGGGTCCTAACCTTTGACACCCCAATCCTGAGAACCATGAATGAGAATGAACAAATCCAAGAAACTCTCAAACAGTTGTTTCTAATGCCTTCTTTTAGCCCTCCATATCTGCCCATCCTGCCCCACCTGCACACGTGCTCTCTTTCCTGACGGCTGCAGGGACAGTACCTTACTAGTATACCTTAGTACTAGGCAGTGGCCCATCAGGCCCTGGGGGCCTTCTGACTGTGTCAAGTGGCAGACTCTGGTGCCAGGAGTGCTATGAGCTGGGGAGCTCCCTGCCCTAAGGGGATTTAAGAAAATGCTGAAGCAACTGTGGTGGCACACACCCACAACCCCAGCACTCTGGGAGGGTACAGCAGGAGGATCACAAGTGTGATCCCACCCTGGGGAAATTAGCAACTTAAGATTGGTTTTATTATTATTTTAAAGGGCGGGGGAGGTAACAGTGCAAAGCCCTGGGTTCTACTCTCAGTGCAAAGCACAGCACAGGACAACACAACTGGGAGGCGGCCTCAGAGTGGTCTGAGTGTCTAGGGTTCTCTGTTCCAAGTTGTTCCCAAATGCACCAGGCAGTGTACCAGATTCAGGAATCCTTAGTAGTCTCTAATTCCCATAAGCACTGCCCACATGCCTGGCCCAGAAGAGTCATCCTGAGGGTAAAGACAGAGGGAAGGCAGCAGTTGGTGCCATTAGTAGCACCTTTAGACCCTGAGGTTCAGAAGACCAACTCAGCACAGAAGAGGGACCTCAGGAGCCATCCCGTGTGACCAACTTTGGGGCACAAATAGAAACAGAAGCACAAGGTGAGAGGGATAAGTCCAGGGTCACACAGCACAGTGGCAGCGCAGGTCTAGAATCAAGGTCTTGCATATCTGCTGCCCACTCCACAGCCCAAGGCTGACCCTTCTCCCAGGGCAGGTTTGAAGCCCACAGACCCCATTTCCTGTGCTGGTCCAACCCAGTGGGACCTGCCCAATCAAGGCAGGCATTTGGAGGATGTCACCCAGGGTTGCAGCCCACACAAGTGTCCTCTGCCTGCTCCAGCCTGACCTAAACTCACACTCTACACTCGCAGGGGGCTGGACCTCATCCCTAAGGGGCTCAAGCAGGACACCAATCGTGCTCTCTGGTGACTAAGAGGCTCAGAGAAGTGGCACCCTCATGGGCTCCATCAACTGGCTATAGTGTGGACTGGGCTCAGTGGTGCCTGCCCTGTACACATCCAGGCTAAACAGGCCCCTGAGCGCTAAAGGACAAACTCAGCAGGTGGGATGCAAATCCTATACCTCACTAAGAATTGCTCAAACTGTGCCCAGCTCCTAGGAGACGTGCCAAATAGGTCATCAAATAGATCATGCTAGCAAGTGATATAGTGTTGGGTCACTGGATCTGGATGGATCATTTTGACCTCTAGGGGTGCTGAAGGCTCAGTAACTCATGTCAGCCATGTGGTGTTCCAGGCCTGGAAGATCAAACCCCAGTACAATCTGCGGACGTCACAGGGGAGCTGGCACTGACACTGGATATGCTCCATTCTTCTCTTCACATACCGGCTGGGAATTAGGCACTATCTGGATGATTCCACTGGAAGAGGACACGTGGCACCCTGTGCTGCTTCTCCAGGACTTGGTATTATGGAGCCCACATAGCTTTAATGGCTTCCTGTCTGGTGACAGCATCTGCTAGGAGGTTCTCACTGGAGCCAAGATGATGGGGACACTATGTCCTTGAGCTTCCAGAACTAGAAAGTAGCCTGACTCAGAACAACAAACCAACCAAGCAACCTCTCAACCAACTAGGCAACTATGGACTCAATGTCCCGTCCAAAACTCACATTGCCATTTGTTAATATAAAATTATTAGGAGGCTGGACTTAAGGCTGGGGGCAGCTCAGTTTTAGAACACTTTCCTAGCGTTCATGAGGACTCAGGTTCAATCCCCAATACCACAAACACACATTTTAAAAATCTCTGCAGCATTATATGAACTAAGCATGGTGGGGCACATGTGCAATCTCAGCTACCTGGAAGGCTGAAGCAGGAGGAACACAAGTTTGAGACCAGCCTGGGCAACTTAGTGAAAATCTGTCTCAACAAAACGGGGCTGGTGACTGCTGGAGGTGGGGAATCTAAGACTTCTCGCTCCAGGGTGTGGCAGGGACAGCTGCCTTTTAGGCAATCACACTGGGGCCAGAGAAAAATAGGTCACCGTATGGCTACTCTCCAGGCAAGAACATAAACGCATACACGTACATGGAACCTGAACTCAACCTCCTTGGAGGATAGAAATTATGGCCGTGCCCAGGCCACACAGATGCCTGAGGAATCTGAGTGCTGAGGATTTGGCACCTTAGGCCCTCACTCCTAAGCAGGTTGGGATTTCTCACCTTACAGCAGGGGCATCCAACCTCCAGGCTGCACAGGCCCCAATGAGTGAAGCAGAGCCTTCCTAGGGCTGAGGGTATAGCTCAGCGGCATAAAGCACCTGCCTGGCAAAGCAAGGTCATGAGCTCAACTCCCAGCCCCACCTCCCTCTCTGCAAAGAAAGAAAAAAAGAAAAATAAATAAATAAAAAGGAAACATGGATTAGTAGTAGCTTATTAAAAAGAGCTGTCATGGGCTGCATATAAAATATCCAATATAGCTAATGGGCATACACAACCAGAGTCCATTTGTGTTTACTATTTTTATTACAACATGTTAAAAAGGGAAACATAAATAGAAAACATCAAGATTTTTGACCTTGTTTTGTGAAACAAATGCACGGATGTCTGGATCAGTAGAAGTGGCTGTGATCACTGAGGACTTCTCCAGTGCTTGTCATACATTTTTTATCTCATTTTTATTCTTCATGTGTTTCATTCCTGAAAACAGTTGTTGACAAATGTTTACACTGCCAAAAAGCATGACTTGAATAAGGCGCGACAGGGAAGGGAGGTGTGACTGTGGAATGAGAGCTATTTCTCTCTGCAAGTCAGGTCTTGAAAAGTGCTGGGAAGGAACACGAATCTCTGGTTGTAACTGTACACATTCCAAAAATAATTGACCACTGATTTTTCTATGATTAGTGATGTACAAGTAATTGTAAGACTGTGATGCCTTTTTGGACTTCCTATGCCACAGGTAAAGAAAACTGCTAAAGAAAACTTTTAACTGATTATGTTAAAAGAGACCACAAGCTCCAGTTTCATAATCAAATATGGGTTCTTATATGTCTGCTGCTCCATTTACTTACTATTTCTTTATGGTACTAGGGATTGAACCCAGGGCCTAAGCACAGAGCTAATTACCGGCCCATTTCTCCTACTCTGAATTTTGAGACAGGGTTTCACCAAGTTGCTAAGTTGCCCAGCTGGGCCTGAGCTTTCTGTCCCCCTGCCTCAGCCTCTCAGAATGCTGGGTTACAGGCGTGCATCACTCTGTCTGGCATATATGTGCTTCAGAACAACAAATGCCCATCTGCGCAGACACACACAGCTGAAGCACTGCTAAAGGCAATCACTATTTTGCTTGTCAAGTCCCACAGGGCCATGTATTCCCTGACATGCATGGGTTGACTCCACTGACTGTGAAGTAGACACGAGGAGCAGAGTTAGCACTGTACGGTGTCATAGGGAATGAGTAGGTTGGTCTCCCTGCCAGACCCACAGGTCACAGATTGCAGGGACTATGTTTGACACTGGTTTCTCTGCAGTACCAAGCAGCACATGACATACGGGCAGCCCTTGAGGACAAGTCCTCGGTGCACTTCCCTACCCCGCCAACTGCTTTTCACTCCTCGCTTACCAACTGCATGCCCAGAGGTGTCACGGACTTTTCCTTTCCTCTTAAACCTTGACAGTCAACAAATCTTACTGATGCCAGGCTCAAAAAGCTCTCGGACCCACTATCTCATCTAATTAATGGTTAATGTTTTAGGTGGAAAGTCTGGACTCTGGCTCATGGGCTGGCCTCGCACTGCCTGCTCCAGCCTCACCTGAACCACCCAGACACACTGTCCAGGCACGAGGGTGGGTGGCAACTTCAGGAAACTCCCTGTACTACTCCTAACCTAAAAGTCCACTCCCCATTGACCCTTGGTTTGAACACAGCACAGATGAGAATATTCCACTGGCTTCCTCGTGAAAGACCTGTTGTTTATAGACAAAGATGGAGACAGAAAAAACTCCTGTTTCCATTGGGCCGGGAGCCTTTCTCCCTCCAACCCCTGTTATTTCAGGACAGCTGGGTATGTATGCAGCATTCTGAGAGTGATTTGGCAGCCATGGGCAGTCACTTGGAAGCTCTGGCTTGCTTCTCAATCATGGGACAATTGTGTCTGTGCTACTGCCTCCCTAGATGGCAAGTGAGAATCAGCCAAATAGGCACAGAGCACAAAGGGTCCACTGCACGGGGCACTTCGTTCCTGTCTCCCCAGCCGGTGGGGCTCTTGTTCTTAGCCTGGTTCTCTTTCTCTCTAAAGTCAGATGGGCCAGAATTCTTAAATCCCACCTGCTGCAGGCCCTGTGCTCTGCTTCACTTTCAACTGCCTTGCCTGGCCTGTTTCTCTTTAAAAGAGAAACCCAAGCCCAGGGACTAGATCTGGACTCAGCTGGGAAGACCCTATACAGAACAAGTTCCCCATCAGGCACATTCAGTTTGTGCTGAACTTTGTGACCTTCCCTTGTGGGAACAACACAGGGTGCTGGATCCCTATGGACAGACAAAGCAGGGCTCACAGCACCCACAAATCAGGAACTCCACAAAGGTAATATGACCTAATATTACCAAAATGCACCCACAAACCAGAAACCCCACAAAGGTAATCTGACCTAGTATTACCGAAATGCAGCTGCCTCTGTGGAAAGAATCAGAATGTGTCTGCATCTCTCCCCGTGTCTCTTCACTCTGCCTAAAACCTCACCTTTTCAGCACTTACAGTACACACAGGCCTACATCTGTCCTGGGTTGTACAGATGCGGCACGTGAAGCTCTGGAAGGGCTTCACAATTGTCAGCCTGTGTCCAAGTGACAGAGAAGGGCCTCCAGCTTGGTCTGTGGTGCCAAGTCTAGGCAGTAATGGTCCCAGGACCCACACAGAATCAGGGAGTGCTGGCTAATGACTTACAGAGTAGAAGAGAGGGTGACCAGACCCAGGGGCCTGTGACAAGACCTGTGGGCCCTTACGGTACTGCCCTCCTGGGTAAGAAGGCTCTGCTGAAGCCCCTTGCTGGGTGCCTCTCTCCTGTGCACCACTACATTATGATGTGGCTGCCACTGCCTCCTAAAGAGACCACACTTGGGGGAATACTAACCAGGCAGAGATGGAGACAGAAGCCTTGTGGGGTCCTATGGATGGGCACAGTTCCATCTTGGTCAGTCTGTTTCCAAGTCTCCTCATGGGGACACAAAAAGCTCCCACAACCATGACTGGTTTTATCTCCTCTCCCCTTCTGACTAAGGCCATGGATCTCTGCAGAGCTCTTGCGTACTCCGCCTTCTCCCACACCGGGCCCTGCACATTTAAGTCAAAGAAGCAACATAAAATGCTCCCTCTCCCTAACTGCATCCTCTATGAGGCAAAGTATGTTCTGGGCCTTTGAGACAGAGCCTGTCTCCTCTCTCTCAGACTACTGAACAGGGTGTCTTGGAGCTAAGGAGGAAAATCAGTGCACGCTGGGAACTAAAAGAAACAACTAAGTAATCAGCACCGTGACTGCCAACTGTGGAACACATCGCTGCACCGCTGCAGTAAGCAGAGGTTACACAAGGAACCAGCCAGTTTAGCCTGGGCAACCTTAAGTATAAAGAAATGCCACCAAGAAGGGCCTGTGAACTCACTTCAGTCCCTGACCACTGGCCTGCGGGACCATTCTATTCAAAACAGTTTGTCCTTTAAGTATTAACCACAGGAGCCAGGTCTGAGTTCTCAAAGTGATGCTCTAAGTCTGGCCATAACAGGTGGACAGAACCGGACAGAGCACAGTAACTGAGGACTTCATTCCAGCGGGCAGCCTGCAGCCATTCACTGTGAAACTCCTGTACAGCACTGCACGTTTCGGTATGTTTTCATTTCTCTGAATAAAACAAGGGTGGAGGGGTGTATTTTGGGGATGACCAGCGACTGAAAACGCTTTTTCTGGGGAGAGCAGAAGACAAGGAGAGCTGGCATCCTCTCCACCCAATTCTTAGGAAAGCATCAAGGCAAGAGGCTCAGGGAACCCCGAAGTGCAGTCACCTCTGTCCCGCGTTGTCTTGATGGGGATCACGGCCCCTGCCCCAGGCCTCCACCCTCCACGCTAGGGCGGAGGCGCTCACTGCCACGCAAGCCAAGAAGCACCTGCAGAGCTTAGCTTCCCGGGCCGCAACCTGAACTTTCAAATCAGAACCTCGAGGTTGCGCCCAACTTTGGCTCTTTAAACAGGAGCCGGGGCCCGGGGCCCGGGGCTCCCAGCGGCTCAGGCCGCTATCCCGGCCCCGCCGAGCGGTCGCGGGCCTCCGCCGGCTCCACGCCCTCTGTGGGCCAAGAAGCTGGCGCGGGGAGCCCCTTCGCCGCCAGACGTGCAGAGGCGGACGGCAGGGACAGCGCCTGAGGCTGCAGGAGCTTCAGCGTCCCCAGGGCTCGGCGGCCCGCTGAGCTCGGGGAGCCTCCTCCGCACCCTTGGCCTGAGGAAAGCGAGTCCGGCCTCCCTCCACAGCCTCCGGACAGAAGGGGGTCGCCCTTTACCTCGTGGAGACGGTGGCGGGGCGGCGAGCAGCAAAGACTGAAGCTGCTGCGCGCACACAGCTTGCGAACCGAGGAGGAGCTCAGGACTCTCAGTGTGTGGGACACATCTGGCTTTTGCCAGAGCCCTTGAGGCCTTCTGGTTCTTCCGTGACCCCAGAGGCTCCTGGGGCGCGCAGGGATCTCTGGGACTTGTAGTCCACCGGGGTGGACGAAGGCCCTAGGAAACTTCTTGTAGTCAGGGTTTAAAGGGAAAAGATTTAATATGGAACACAAAATTTATTAGGGTTCTTTTATAATATTCACCGAAAGAGTCAAATGCAAAAGAATGCAAGAGATCTGTCCACATACCAGAGACCCAAAGCCAAGGGCCTGGATCCCTCGGCAATGTCTTGCATGAGTTCATCAAAAGACCTACAGCCTATGGCAACGTTCTCCAGGAGTCCAACTAGAAGCCAAGAGAGCCCACGACGATGTCACATGCAAGTCTGTTTCAAGGATCTGAACTGGTAAGGTCCAAAGGTCAGTGGTGGAAGCTTGAAAGTCTGCACCAAACAAAAAAGAAAGTCTGCACCAATGGGATAATGGATCTGTGCCATTGGGCTGTGGGATCAGCACTGGAGCCAGGAAGTGACACTCAAAGTAAGGACCAGAGTTTCCCTGAAGAGAACCGCAGCCATCCTCAGCAACAGAGAGGACATAAGCTCCTCTGATGAGAACTAGCAAGTTCATATCAGGAAAGCCAGCATGACAAGCTTCTCAAGGAGAATTATCAGTGCACCATCTTCCCCTTCAATTGGCTTTTTATGCCATCGGCAACAATCCTTCCACATCCAGCACTGCTCTGATTCAGTTCAGCTGGGTAGTACAGTAAGCACGCAATTCTATGATTAGTAAAGACAATTAAAGAATAACAAATAGCCGGAAATTTAGCTCAGCCAGTATCATAAGCGCCTTCATGGCAAGCACAAAGTCCTGAGTTCATCTCTGGTACCAAAACAAACAAACAAACATATAGACATGTTACAGCAAGTGAAAATCAAATAGTAGCCTCTGCCTGTGCTCCTGCTGCCTGTGATGTAAACACCCCACTGAATTCAGTCAGCCTTGACTGCCTGGGTCCTGCTACTTTTCTTCTGATAATGCACTGGGCAATTTGACTCTTCGCAGCTTACGTTTCCCTTAATTAAGACAATCTATTGCTTCTAACTGGCTTTAAGGACTTGGATGGGGGCCAAGTAATCCTGTCAAAGCTACTTTTCACCTTGTTTGCTCCACTTGAACCCCCTCCCTTATCACAGACAATTCCTTTCAAGCAAATATATTTAGACTTAGTTTTCCTGACAATATGACAATTGAATCCACATAATCAGTCATGGAATGCCTTGAACTTTCTGCTTGTAAACTGTACTTAAACTGAACTCGAAGCTGGCTCTTTGCTAGTGATTTAGTCCTGTTAGCCTGCTAGCCTAATCATGTTGTAAACCCTGCCCCAAAAAAGCCCCCCCCCCCGCAGATGAAACACAGGGCAAGATGACATCATTTTAAAAAGAAGTGCTTTTATTTTAGCTGGCCCAGCAACACAATGCAAATGGAATTTGCAAAGCTGTGCAACTGAGTTAGAATTTTGACTGATTTTTATAGTTCATTTATGATTAGCTCATTGATCAATAAGTAGATATCAATGAGAAACAGAAACAAGGTGGACCTTTGTTCCCCTTTGTTTGATGTCAGAGGCATTTCACAATGGGTGGTTAGCAAATTCATAGCCTTTGGTCTGCCAATACCAAGAACATTTGTCTCTTACAAGGGAACAAAGGTTGACACAGCAAACAGGTTACTGGGTGGGTGGGTGGGAGATGCATACAGAACAGCATGATGATGCAGTCAGTTAATCTATAACTATGTGGTTGGTGCTTGGTTACTAGAGTAACGAGCTCAGCACAGAATGACAATACTGCTAATAACTATCCTTTTAATTAACTATTTTAATTTTTCAGCATCTTAGTATAAGAACCATAAACGCGGTCTTCTGGATGCCTTGGTGCAAAGAGTCTTCTATTTGCTTTGGTATTGGTTTTGTATTACACTACAAATTTACCATTAGTTAATACATCACAATGCAGCCAGTCCACCCTCCCGGGCCTCTGGAACTTTCAGTCTTCAGTCTTCCAAGAAACTTCTAGAACTGGTAGTGGGTAAGGAAAATGCCACCTGCAATGCTAATTTTCAGTGTCTTTTGTTAGAAATTTTGGATCTTCTATGTAAAGGATCATGTAAACATAACAATCATTTGACTTCTTCCCATCCAGGCATATTCCTTTTCATCTTTCTCTTGGCTGATTGCTCTAATATTTCAAATACAGTTCTATAGTAAATAGCAGTATGATAGTGACCATCTTTGTCTTGTTTCTGATCATGGAACAGATTTTAACTTTTGCTCATTTTAATGTGATACTGGCAGTATCAGATAAACTCGCTCTGGACTGATTTTCTTCAGAGTGCTTGTTACGAATAGATGTTTTTGATTCTATCAAAGGCTTTTTCTGTGGGACCTGGCACAAACATGAACTGGTGTGGGCACACCAGGATTCCTGCCAATAAGCACTCAGAGGCTCACTCTGCCGGGCATGGATCTGGACCTTTTAGTTAACCCACGGCCTGAGATGCTTTCAGCAACTTCTTAACCCCATTGCAAAGAAGAAGGCTTCCATGGCTGCCCACAGTGGCCTCTGCCCATTGTGTACAGTGGCTCCCTTAAAAGCCAGTGTCTTGCTTTGGTTCCTGGTCCTGCTATCCTGGGGGCTCTATGGGGACAGGGAGGCACTGTCTTCACTTGACATTGCACACATTGTGCCTGGGCCTGGCACCACCTATGGGCCCCCAGATCAGGTGGCCTATGTGCTTGCTGCCTGATCTCACCAGGTAGGAGCCATGGGGAAGGAGGGCCCCAGGTATACCTTGGGGATGTGGAAGTCCTAAACCTCAGTGTCACGAGACATCATGTGGGGAATACTCATTGGGATGATGTCCACAAAGTGCTGTGTCTCGTGAATCATGGCGTTGATGAAGGGCATGCGGGCCTGGTCCACAATCTCTGGGCACTACCACTGCCCTATCACTTCATCAATCTCCTGTTGGACATGGCCTACACAGACAAGCATCCCCATGGTGGCTCAATCAATCCCTGGGAGCTGTACCCTGACCCCGTCTTCCTCTGCATTGAGGGCTGTGTCCAGGTGAGGAGGGCCTCATGCTTGCAGAAGCCTGGACTAAGCCCATGCTTAGAGAAGCAAGTGTCTCTACTATGCTTGGGGACCTGCCACTATTGTTCCTCCCTTCTTATCCTCTCATCCAGCCCCTGCTTGGCTCATGCTGCACATCTGTGTACAGGAGCACAAGCAGGGCCCAGGCCAGCATGGTCAAAGTGGTCACCATCCCTGCTGTGAACAGGTCAACCACAGCCAGGTGCAGTTTCTCCTTATTGCAGCTGCTCATCTTGGGGCTCCCCATGGCCTGGGCCAGGCAGATAGGTGTGCTCAGGGCAATAGAGGAATTCCTCAGATGCCCACACTCTGCAGCTCACCCAATACTGGTGACTGAGAGGTGATAAGCTTCTACCTTGCCTCGACCCTCTCAAGACCCTCATCCCAAGCCCTTAATCTTTTCTTGACAGCTGTCTCTCTTCTCCACCTCATCCAGAAAGGCGTCAGTCAGGTCTTGGGGTGGCTGTGCTGGATCCTAGATGTTGTGTACTCAGCCACCAGCTCATCCATGAAAGCCAAGAAGGCCAGTGCAGGAAGGACCTTGGGAGCCACCCTGGGATGTGCAGAAGAACTGGGGATGTGCTCAACATCTGGACAGCCACAGAATAAAGCTGGACTATGCTGTGCCCTGCTATGAGTAGCCTGAGTGACACAGCTGTGAGTGGGGCTCATTGGCATTCCCTTTCATAGATGAGAAAACTCAGGTTCACAGAGGTGAGCAGTGAAGCCCAAACTCAGCAGTAAGCAATTTGAGGCAGGTCATTGCACATCTCTCAACCTCAATTTCCTGATTAAAGTGCTGCTCAGGACCTTGGCCCCATGCCCCCAGTTGAAAGACCTTTCCCTCTGATGGCCTTGAAAGGGACATGGGGCCTAGGTAACATCTATCCCATCCAGCTAGGTATCACCCTGCCGCCATATCCCTATTTTCTGGTCTTTAGGCTTCCATATCTTTGCCATCTGTCTTAATTACTTTTCCCCCACTGCCGACACAAAGTACCCGACACCCCAAGGTAAAAGAGGCAAGGCTGATTTAGCTCACAGTTTGTAGAGGTTTCAATCCATAACCAGCTAGAGTAGCCCAGGTAGAGTAGCCCAGGTAGAGTAGCCCAGGTAGAGTAGTCCAGGTAGAGTGGCTTGGCAGAGAGGCATCCCAGAGGATAGACAGTTCATGGTGGCAGAAGACAGCAAAAGCAAGCAAGTGAGAAAGGGGGAGACAACCCTTTCTGCATCATTTTTATTGTATGAAATCTACTGAGATTAGGATGGTGCCAATCCAATCAGTGGGCTGACCCAGCAGTCACCCACCCTTCATCTTAGCACCCTCAATCCTAGCATTGCTCCATGAATCAATCACACACTTAAGATTTAGCCACCACTGAAAAAACCCCACATACATCTGTGTAAGGATTTGGGGGACATCTAGACACAAACTATGACACCATTAGAAAGTCCAAAGTGTCCCTAGGCCTTGTAGTACCATCCACCAGGAAGTCTCTCAACCTGCTTCCTTTTGAGGTCCCCGTTGTCTGTCCAGCCTGTGGCTTTGCCCACCACCCACTGTCTGCAGCTGGGGGTCACCATGGCCTCTGCCATCACCACCTATACCTCCCTCACCTTGTAGAAGGATTATGGTTCATTGTGGAAGTCCAGCTCTATTGGGAGCAGGAATCAGGGGTCCGGCAGTGAATGGGTGTGGAAAACCACACACTGAAGCTGGACCTCAACCAGTTCCTCATCCTGCGGTAACCTCAGCCTTCTAGACAAAGCATCACGCTGATATGAACCTGGGAATAGCTTCATAACATAAACAAAAGAAGTTTCTCATGGGCCCAGGAACATGTTTACCTCCTGGGCTGCACAACAAAGAAGTTTCTCCTGGGCCCAAGAACATGTTTACC